ACGACGTCCAGAAAGCCGTTGGACGCCGCGTTGTCCATGGCCGCGACCGTGCACCCGGTCGATCCTGCCTCGTGAAGCAGCTGCAGCGTCCCGAGGTGGCCGTAGTAGGCGATCATATCCATGGCAAAACCGATGACAGGGCAGTGCAGATACACCATTTCGGCGAGGTTGATGCCCTTCTCGCGCACGAGGTACTCGAGAAGACGCGCGTGGCCGCCGAGCGCTGCCGCCGTCGCAAGGGCCTTCGGGGTCTTGAGCAGCGACTCGAGCTCGTCGAGCCAGACGTTTTCCATGGGTGCACCCATGATCTCGGGGACCACGATTGAGTCGTCCCCGTACGAAGCGTTGGACGCATCCGCGTAGAAGGCGACGTCGTGTGTCATACCTCCTTGGATCTCTTTGCCGTCGTACAAGACTTGCATCACGCGCTTGTACATGTCCTTGGAGCGGATCAAGCGAAAGCGCTGCGGACCGAGGTAGGCTCTCGGCAACGTCGCAAGGTCGCCGGGCCAGTCGAGGCGAAAGGCGTCGGCCCACAGTTCCGAGGCCACGTCGGCCCACAGCTCCGCGGCCACGTCTTCGTCCGAGGTATCCTGCTTCAAGGTGCCGTTGAGCCACTGCGTGAGTACGCCAGCGTGGGCGAAGATGGTCGGATGGAGGTCCTCGATAGCGTCCCAGTTGGCCATGGCGCTTGTTGCGGATTGTGAGTGCACCATCCGTGTCATCCGGATAAATTACTGACAAGTGCAAAGTAAATTTACCGTTTTTATGACGAAATTCCGGTCGGCCATCGCCGCCGGGAGCCATCGATGGCACTGAACGACATGTAGGCGAGGGCACTGGAGTCACATGCTAGCTGCACACATTTCGTTATTCAATGCTTCGACGTAGCTCACCGCACAATGTCAATGAACTCACTATGTACACGCTGTGGTACGAGGGTGGATCCATCTTTTTCCCGAAATCTATTTTCTGAACCGGCTAAAAAAGCGCTACAGGTGGTGGCGAGCCGCAGACCCAGTCCTGCTGTAGCCGCCGGAAGTAGTTCATCTT